CCAGAAGTTTACTAACGATTGGAAACAGACGCTCAGGCGTCACATACCTGTCCACAAATGGATGACCGCTGAGGAGATTGAAGGACAGAAATACTTGGAGCACAAGACTAGCAAATATGTTTGACTCCAACAACATTTATAGTATGAAATACCGGTTTATATAATTTATTGTAAGTGTTTTGTAAATTATTTATTACTACGGTAATAGCAATTTGCTATATTGTAAGTACTAGTGCACTGTATCAGAGAAATAAAGAGTTTTTTGTAAATGTATTTTTATTTTAAAATATAGTTTTCTCAAGTTTTATGAATACAATAAATTTTATTGAATGAAACATCAGTGAATGTAATGTTATGATACAAATAGAAACCATTAGCACCGACGCTCATATTGTACTGGCTCATTTCCTTCACTCTGGCCACCAATAATTTGCGATAAATCTTGAGGTTATCCTCGTTTCCAACCGGTGGTCGAACAGTGTTGGGTGTAGTGGTGAGGTTGGACTGTCCGGCCAACACATCGGGTGCCACTACACCAGTGTCTTGTGTGGGCGGATCAGCCAAACCGATGTGTTCAGTGCCAGGCTTAGGGTTATGGCCTTGTTTAATTATTTCTAACCAAATGTTTGTTTGGGTCAATGTATCCCAGCGTTCAAACATTATGCACTCAATGTTTAAGATGTTTAGTGTATTATGTTTTCACTAATTGTATGGTAACTATATTTTTAAATAAATTCATTGACAATAGAATTATTATTTTTTAATTTTTAATTAAAATTTGTCAATTTTTAAAATTAACTAATTCTCAGAAACTAATTGTCAAAATGAAATGTGTAATAAATTATGTTTTATTAATATCTGATTATTTCTAATTTGGATATTTTATAGAATTTATTATTTTAAGTTATTATTTATAAATTCTAATAAACAGTACATAATTTACTAATTATCTCGGAATGTCATTTAAATTTAGTTAATTAAAGTCTTAATTATTTTTCAAGTTATAAAAGTTAATAACTAATGAAATGTCACTTAAATTACAAAACTTCTGATTTATTGACTTTTAAAGCAAATACAGATTTGAAATAATTTGCTTGTTTTTAACCATCGAGTGGACACTATGCGACTTTGGAGTACTTGTATGTGAACCGGGAGTACTTAAAACTACCGATACTCAGACCTCCGCTTTTCCGGTAGAGCCAACCGTCGACTCCCATCCGGATATTCTCTCCGTCGGCATCACTTTCCGATGTATTGTAGTGCAGTCTCTGCATCGGGCATTCATCCATTTCCTCGAGTTGTGGGTCCAACTCATAGATTTCATAGTTGCCTTGTAGCACAAGTAGGCCGCCCTCCGGGTACTTCCAGCAATCTATCCATTTGCACCAATACTTGTACTGATTGCTGGGACGGAATACCTTGGTCTGATCATTCATCACAAACAATGGCGTCCGGGGCAGCACTGGAGCTCCTGGCTGGTTTGCACCGGCAGGCAACGACAACTCAATGCCCTCTCGTTGACTGAATGCCAGTGGGATTGGAGGCAATGGATTCAAGTTGGGGACCATTGGGCCCAAGTATGTGGTAATCTGTCGATTATGATTGTATGGCTCCAGTGCGTGATTGAGTGGGTGGGGAACGCCTAATATCTTTCTAAGAGGCAGATTCGGCACTTGGAAGGGACGCATTGGTTCCAATTGTGGCCATACATTGGTCATAACACTGGTCTCATAGAGGCGCTCATACCGATGTCGGGCCCGTATTTCAGTCATGCCATCGTCCCACTCCTCCATAGCCGCAATCACACCGTTCTCTGGTATATGGAGTTTGGCGTAATGTTGAACTTCATTGAAATTGATTTCCAGATCCCAGCAAATGGTCTCATTCTGTGATTCTGTGGGTCCAATGAATATGATTGGATTCTGGATGTTTTGGTGCCGGTTTTGATCGCTTGTAATGAATGTGCCGTTTGCTAACAATTGACTTGTTGTGTACCAACCTATACAGGGATCAGTTGGGAAAGTCCATTGAAGGTGTGCCTCCACTACGACAACCCCTCCCTGTTGAACGATCGATCGGTTGTGACCATTGGTTACCGTATAATTCTGGTGACAGGTGTCGGCGACCCCGAGTTTAGCTCCGGCGCACATGTATATAGCAAACCGACTGTCCAAATACCTTTCATGCATTTCCCACGCGTTGCCAAATTTATGAGGTTTTGAATCGTGCCATAAGTTCCGCACATATAGCCGATTGCCCTTTAGTTTGACTCCGGGATCATACTTCTCCTGCGGCTTTTTTCTCCGGACTGTGCGTATGGGCCAGTGCTCGAACACCAGGCCAACTGACACGTGGAACGGTCTGTTAGGCTGTGTCCGCGGATACCAACTCGTAATAACCGGATAGATGTTAGAGAATGGGATGAGACTGAACACCTGGATATCACGGTTACCATTCGGAATGGGGTTCTTTTGAGTCCTGGCTGCCACGGACACGTGATAGATAGTCATATGGCCCACAATCTTAGTGGTCCTTAAGGCTTGGGTGGGTGTGACTGTAGAAGAAGAGGTGTCGTCCCAATTGTTTGCGAGCGATGTGTCGCCAATAGAGTATCAGCTCATTGGACGTATTCATGCTTCTCTTGTTTTGCGGGAAGGCACCTGGAAGGCAGGCAAACCCTGGGCATACCTCCAGATATAATCGTAGAAGTGGCCGTTATAGCCGACCATCAGCTGGTTCTCCCTATTGCCGTGAACGGGGTTCCCAAATCTAAACACCAATAGCTTGCGGTAAACCCTCAAGTTTTGTTCATTTGGGACATTTGGTGGACACCTGTCGAGAACCTGTTGCAAGAGGTTGGGCTGATTGTCGATAATAGCCGGATTGGGCGGATTACCCGGATAAGCCGGTGGATAAGCCAGTCCATTCTGATTGTCCAGCACTGCCATAGTGTGATAGTGTGTCCGTTTGATTGAGTTTTACTTTTATCGAAAAGTTTTCTGCAGAGATTTATCTAAACTATTGAATTATTTTTGGTTTGCTTCAAGTCTTGAATATTTTGAGTGTTTGAATCATTTAGTATTTTGTGTATTCAGTGATTGTTGTGTAACAATAGTGTAATCTTATAGTTTAACGACAAACATATCAATTATCGCTGTTATATTAATTTTATTTTTAACTCCTTTTCACTGATCACTTAACTCCTAATCAATAAATATTGAAACACATCAGTCGTTAAATAGTGTACTCTTAATTTTAACGATATTTTAATTTTTGAATCAAATATTTATAATAATAGTACTGTATATTAATTTTTGTTAAATTTATTAGTATGAAACATGATAATTAGAGTTAATGGGACAGGGGTATAGTTTTATAAAATAATGTTTAGACAAATAATATTATAATTTATGAATTTAATTCACATATTTCTATACAAATGAGGTGTTCATTACAAATCTTGAATACAAATTATAATTTCCAAAACATTTCGAGAATTAAAAATTAATTTCAAGTTTTATTCAATGAAATCCCTATTCGAGAGATAGTTTTAATTGCTTTTAAAGTTCAATTTCACGCAAATTTATAATTTTATACACATTATCACAACTTTAGAAGTTATCCAGGTGCTATTTACCATAGAAGAACATAATTGAAAACTTAATTCACCAAAAATACGTGACAATAGTGTTGTGGCAAATGTGGAGACAACCCCCCCATCGGGTGTTGTTTGCAGTGAAATGCTTTAACAACAAAACTATTGAAGTGAACAAAACATGTGTTGATTTGCACCACAATTACCACAACAATGTCTTAATTATCACGAAATTACAGCCAAACATCACTTCAAAGACCAATCGATGGATGAGTTAAAGCGAGACAACGAGCGACTGGCGGCCAAAGTGTCTCACTATCAGCAGTGCATCGATTTGTTGGAGACATACAGGAAATGGTTGATACTCTTCACCAACAATAACACCACTTCTGACAACCATTTCATTCAAATGAATGTTGTCTTGGATTTGGAGAAACAATACAAAACACTCTTCACATCCACTGTCCATCTCGTGGACCACCAGTTGGTCACCGCCGCCAACACCAGTAGCGCTGCCATTGATGTGAACAAAGCCAATGACAGCTCACACACCACTCCAAGACTGATCCCAACCCGGCCTAAGACATACAGATCGCCTAATGTCTTGAGCACCACTCCTGTGGCCACAACTGTGGTTAATAGTGGCAAAAGTGGTGACAAGTTGTCGACAACTATTGAAAGAATCGACGCATCGATGGAAACAGAAGACAATACCACTGATAGTGTGGAACCGATGGCAGCGGCAAGTGGTGAGCACTCGAAGAGTTCATTATCACCACAAATGGCACCGATTAAGACACCCATTGTATCGACTAACGTGACACTTATAAGCGGATTAGCAATGAAACCAAATCCAGTGAATACTATTACAGAGAGTATTCACAAAACACTGGATTATCTCAAGAAAGGTGACGACAAGTCGGTCACTAATGAAGATATCCGTCAAAGCCTTATGAAACGGATCCAATTGAGTGATAATCCGATTGATGTCAATATCGATAGCGAGAGCACTCAAAGTGCGGACACAACTGGAAGTAAAGACGATAAACAATACGAGGAATTCTGTGATCACTCGTACCATAAGAATCCGAACCAAACAACGGATCCAATGACTGGAAAATCGCGAACGACTTTGTATTCAGTGGACGAAGAGTTGACTGATTGGCGCAAAGATGAGGCGCCGCTCTCTCCCATTAAGACATCGGTCCCTCCCGTCAAGTCTGCGGTATCTGCCATCAGATCTTCGCTCTCTCCCCACAAGTCTTCAGTCTCTCTGAACAAGTCTTCAGTGACTTACAGCAAACCAGTGAACACATCCTCTGCCAGTGTGTCCACTAAACCCATCGCTGATAAAGTCATTGAATTGAATAAAAAGACAAACAATTTAAATACGATTGCATCGAAAAACAATCAAATGTTGAACACAACTAAACCCACAAAAACGGTTGATCTCATTGTCAGGAAAGTTGGTTATCTTAAGCCAACGAATGATACTACTGTTGGAACCACTGGACCTGTTAAGCTCACCTCTTCAGACCTCAATCAAATCATTACCAAACAGCCCCTCAAGACTACAAATATTGTCACCCCTTTCATAGCTACCGTTCCTACAGTTCCCACACGTTCTATCGTCAACACAATTAGCACTCTTAGGCCTATTCAGCCGACACCACAACCCATTAGCGCAGTCAAGACATTACCTATACATGAATGGTTGGAACTGTTCAAGAGTGGCAACTATACGCTCACTATTGATGTTCAAAATCCTATGATATCTGGTATTGAGTTTAGATTTTAATAATTTTTGTATTAAATGTGTTAATCTCTACTTTAGTAATGAGTCAAAAGGTGGTAAATAAGGGCGAGATTCCTGGTGCCAAAAATGGACCTACGAATTGGATTCTCGGGTATAAATGCAATTACAATGACTGCCAGTTTGTCTCATATCAAAGAGACACCACAAGAGAGCACATTAAGAAACACTCGAGTGATGACCCATTCATTTGCGATGTCTGTACGAAAGCGTTTGCTTTAAAGGACTTCGATTCGCATATGTCGAGGACTCACACCACTAACCGGCTAATTAGATGTCGTTTCCCCGACTGTCACTACTGGACGGGTAGTAAAGAGAAACTCATGAATCACTACAAATCGCAGCATAAGAACAATCAACACAAACGCGAGGAGAAGACCAAAACCAGTGACCGATTGGCACAAACCAAGGGTCCCATCCAAATGCCCATCATCTTCGAGAGTTTCAAGACTAATGCCAACAATAATATTAGTAATGGATTGCGGATCCGTTCAGTAAAGGGCACGGACTTGAAGTCCAGAAATGTGGACGCATTTGAAAACAGATATAAGTGCCACGAAAGCGGTTGCTTTAAGTCGTACCGAACCGAGAATGGACTCAAAGATCACTTATTCAAAGGCCATAATATCCTGCGGTCGTACGGCTGTGATTGGTTGGGATGCGACGCGCGGTTCAACTCCCAGCGCGAAGTCAAGATCCATATGGACAGGCATTCCGGTAAACTTAATACTATGGCTAAACTGAAGGAATTGATGGCAATCGGACGATATGTGACTACTGTTGACCCGCAGGAGGAACTCATTTCAGGTTTGAATTGATTGTGAATTTGGTTTTCGAGGTTTTCATGAAATGTTATGTTTTTTCAGTCATTTTTAAAGAGAAGAGTAAGAAAGAGATGGGATTTAAATGCAATTACAATGACTGCAAATTCGTGAATATATTCCGCCATATAATGACCCAACACTTGATGACTCACAACAACGAGAAGACATTTACGTGCGATTTGTGCGGAAAGGCATTCGGACTCAAGAGTTACATCAGACGCCATAAGTTGGCCAACCATTCATCCGATGGCAAGACTATAGACAACAAACCGCCCGCACTTAAGCCCAAGACTAGTGAGGACTCGCTTGGCATACAATTGAGACCAAAGTTGGCGCCAAGAAAGACAAAGCGGTCGACAAATAGCGCCCGATATGGCGACACGTTATGGAAGTGCTCTGCGCCTAACTGTGACTTCAAGACGTATAACAAATATTACTTCAGACGACACGCACTCCTCAAACACCAATCCGATAAGACCTGGAAGTGTCGGCGAACCGGTTGTTCAGAGAGTTTCAAAAGCAATCGTCTGTTGAATAAACACGAGAAGGAGGCCCACAAGAGGACTAGAACTGCGGCCAAACCGCAGACATCCGACGGCAACGCTTCTAATAAGTCGCCTGAAAAGGTATTGAGGGCTAAGAGGTCTTCGCAATTGCGCCATAAGTTCCGACGCCGTTCACAGCGAGTGACCGGACAGTCATATAGTCTGCGCCGCACAGACCTAACGACTGATAGTATTGAGGCTAAAAAATCAAAGAAGTCGAGTCCCGCGGAGCGATATTACTGTCCATTCAGTGGTTGTCCTAAGAGTTACGCATTTCACCAGACTTTAGATTTACACATTAAAAGCCATAAAAGTAGGGATAAATATAATTTACGACAAAAATAAACTATAGATAACTCCTATATTTCATACGAGTTTACCTCAAATTATATAAAAATTTTAATTTCGTTTCATAAACTAATTTATGTTTTTATAACACATTTCTAATGAACTCGTGTTTGAAATTTATATTTGTATTTCACACGAACTGTTTACTCTGTTTACTATAAAACTGATTGCATTTGATGTCCTAAAATGAGTTCACTTTCATGTCTACTAATAAATCCATTATTGAACTGAAGAGCAGACATGCGTTTGTGTCCTTTGAGTGTCACTGAGCCGAAGGCAGACCACGTATTGTCGGCACAACTGATACATAGAATACGACGCTTTTTATGATAATAAACTAAACCGGGTTTCGGTTTCGACTGACTGGACAGGCGGTTGAGTTGGAGAGTTGACACAACTTGTGGGTCGACTATATCGTAGAGTTTGACTGGTGTGCCGTCTGTCCAATGCGTGCAAATGTCTATAAAATCAACGAATGCTCTAAACCTGCGGTCGATGTCTGTGGCCGTCATCGTCGACCAGTTTATCAAACCGTATGTTTCGTCAAATTTAGGCGCTTTTCATACAAATTATAAGCAAAACGTTAATCAAGTTTTACATCAAAAAAACTAAAAACACTGAAAACATACCAAAAGTTATGCCTTCATTTGGTTGCGGTTTAGAGTTATTTAAATTATTTTCTAAATCCAATAAACATTTCCATAACTAAATAACAAAACATTTAATCAAAACTGTGTCAAAACACACACATTAAGTGTATAATGAGTACCAATTGAGCGCCGGCTGGAGCTAACTGTGCTTTCAATTGTTTGGCTGTCATTCTGTGGGGAATCTTATAATCCATTTGTAGGACAATGTCTCCGATGTCGAACTTCTTGGGCTTAACCCTCATTATAGTGATGCCAGTGATGGGGTCGCCGTGAAGGACAGCATAATTGACTGGTGCGGCGCCCCTCCATCGGGGCAGTAGTGAGCCGTGAATGTTAAGCATACCTGCTCTCAACATATCGCTTACTATTAGTGGGAATGGGATGAAAGGCATGTCAGACACTGACCTAATCTGCAGGCTTTGATGGCGCGGTTGGGGATGAGGTAACCAAAGGATGAGACGACTCCCAAGTCATATATCTTTGGCGGCAATTCATAGGGAAACTCATGACTCGTTAATTGGTTTTGTTGGGCGAAACGCGATATTATGTTATGTCTTGAGCTCAACACTACTTCCAAGCGCGTGATCAGTGCTGTTGTGTCACCACTCGTGTGTCGCTTGAAGTGGTGGTTAAGGACTTTGAGTGTCTCTAAACTGAATTCATCGGATCCGTAAAAGACAACTGAAAGCCGGCGATGCAGTGAACCAATAGTCCCAATAGTAGTGGACGTCCGGCCGAGAAGTGTTGCCAACAGTTTTCGGTGACATTTATGACATAACATAGAGTTTAGCATATTTTACACCAATTATCAAATGCACTGTCAATTCAATGCTATAATTAGCCATTCATTTATGTTAACTGTTAACCAATTACTGTTACCGGTATTTAAAACTTATCAAAACTTTTATTTTAAGATTAACTCTTAGTTTATAATTAAAATATAGAAAATTAAAAACACTTTTCATAAACTAATTTAATCAGAGATTCATTAAGAGATAATTGGCATAAAAATCATAAAACTTATCAAAACTTTTATTTTAAGATTAACTCTTAGTTTATAATTAAAATATAGAAAATTAAAAACACTTTTCATAAACTAATTTAATCAGAGATTCATTAAGAGATAATTGGCATAAAAATCACATTAATTTCAGTTCATTTAATTCATTTAAATCACAAACAAATTGCTACCAAAATGTGAGATAAACACAATGTGTTGTTATTATTATTTACATTCGTTTCTATGACTACAACATATGGGCAAACCTGTACTCAATCACACGGGTGGGCTCAGGGGGTGCTAATAGTTAGTTACCATTTATAATCATGTTTGTAATTATTAAACATCAACCAAAACTTAAATATAACTAAATCTATCTAATAAAACAACATGTTACATGCCCATAAGCCTGGTCACTTGAACATTGTCAACCTGACCATCAACCCCACTGTACCCCCCGGTGTGAGTGCACTCACCTCTAGTGCTCACAAATGGAGTCAAAATAAAGTGATTGTGTTTTGCATTCATTTGACGTTTACTTCAAAATGAGTTTTAAATGCATTTAAAAGACAAATACAAACCATTTGTATACCATTTGTGACAATCAATCACTCATTGAATCCATAACCCATTCACTCATCCCTATTGTCACCCGAATCGACGGACAGACATGTCTTCACAGCCGGCGCTTCCCGCGAGCACCACATCATCGGTATATCCCTTACCGCCGATGAGATACATCCAAGTGTTCAGCGATGACAACGTGTCGTCCAACACGTGTCCACAACCGCCCAAACCTGTGTGTGAGGGCCAGTACTCCATGTTTGGGCAGACCATCGCAATGGACGATCACATCATACGGTCGCTGGAATCGCAAGGACTCCGACGACTCTACCCGCGAGAGTACGACCACAAGCGGGAGCTCAAGAAGATGAACGCTTCCATTTTAGTCAACTTCTTGGATATACTCGATGTCCTCGTCAGGTGTCCCGACACTAACAAACGCGAAGACAAGACGCACGACATTCAACTCCTCTTCATTACCGTACGGCTCACTCTCTCTCTCTCTCTCTCTCTCATGACTTGATTTAATGGCTGATCTCTCTCTGACAGATGCATCACCTGATCAATGAGTTGCGTCCACATCAGGCCCGGGAGTCCATCCGAGTGCTGATGCAGTCCCAGAAGAGACAGCGCTTTGAGACGACGGCCCGACTCGACAAACAGATCGAGAGAGTGAGAGATCTGATGAATACAGCCGTCAATTCCATCAGCGAAGACACACTGATGGACACATTGGATGTGAAGCCAAATATGAGTGATTTAAACGCTCTGACGAAGACATCGGGTCTGACTAATGGTGCGGACAGTAGTGGCATATCTGTGGACAACACCTACGAAAAGGACGCTCTTATGTGTGATTTTGTCGAAGAGTTAGCCCTTCAATGACTTAATTTAATTATCATTTACTCCATTGTATTGTGTTGACTACGAGAACAAATAAACTGACATTAATTTAATTAAATATAAACATGGATTTAAGCTTTTAATAATGAATTTCATTTTGTTTTATGTATTTATTAATTAATTATCCATTAAAATCCAAAATAAGACTAAATGAACAGACATGTAAATGCATTGGTAATCTAATAATGATAACTCTTGGTGACTATGGATGGTTGACATAACCTTTTAATCCGGTTACCGGTAATTAAAATCTAAAACTTCTACAATTGACACAATTTGCTATATGTGTCACAAATAACGTCTAATTGAATAACGTATTGATTCACGTGTTTTGGTGTTTCAGTGTTGCCCTGAAATTCAAAACATAAACACATTTTGTGTTTTGAAATCTCATTTGATTTGATTAATTGAAATATAATATAGTTATTAAATATACACTCAATTGCTTTCAATGCATGCAATGATTGACACAAATATGTATTCATTTCAAGCGTTTTGTTTCCACAAAATGCAATACAAAGGTATTTCTCAACACTTTATACTCTGCTCTCAAACTAATGGTGTGATTGAGTGTCCATTAGATGGCCAGACAGTGCCCACCGCCAGAAGTGGTCATCGGATAGTCAGTACTCACAGTGATGTCTACTCTTATGGCGGATATAAACCAGTGATGGATGAGGACAGCGATGAAGACAGCGATGAAGACATGGAACTCGAGTCCGACGACCAATGGTTGGCCACTAAACCGCTGTTCAAAGAGTTGTGGCGCTTCTCATACGTGACCAGACAGTGGACACGACAGCCGTTAAGAGGAGTTCCGCCGCCAGAGTTGGCCTCACATTGCGCTACACTTCTGGACAACAAATATCTGTTAGTCTTCGGCGGAACCAGTTTTCCATTCGGCGAGACCTCCAGCAACCGGTTGTCTGTCTGTAATCTCACCACAAATGAGTGGAAGTGTATCACTAATAGTGATGATAATGAGGCGCCCATTGAGATGTACGGCCAGGCGTTGACTATAGACCGCACGTCCGCTCATATCTATGTCTGCGGCGGAACTACTGGTCATCAGTACGCCATTGATGTCCATCGGTTTGATTTGCAGACACATTTGTGGCACTGTTTGTACTCCAGAGACATCAATTTCTTTGAGGACCTGTTCCCAGAATCTCGTTATAGACATGCGATTGTGTTGCATAAGAATAAGCTGTATGTCATCGGCGGTGGGACTTCATTCCAGTGCTTCTCATTATCAACGGTGTGTTTAATTAATTTGCTAACAATTTATGAAGTATTTTAATCCATACTTTGATTCACGAATAGATCCCTGTCTTCGATATCGATTTGAGGAAATGGGTGTCAATAGAGACCAGAAGTGATTTGAATGCAATGATAGATGAAGGCGACGGCTATCCGAAGAGTAGGCGGTGTCACGACTGCATACACATCGATGACTTCGTGTATTTGTTGGGCGGAACTGATAATGAGATGATTTTTGACGACTTTTGGCGATTGGATCTAAATGTGATGCAATGGACGCGACTTAATGCCCGAATACCCCGAGCCCTCTATTTTCACTCGTCCTCAGTGTCGCCAACTGGTCGGCTATCGGTGTTTGGAGGGGTCGTCAACACCAACCATATCGAGCGCACCAACGAGTTGTTCACCGCATGGCTTAAGATACCGACGCTTAAAGAGATGGCTTTCGACGCAGTTCTCCATTATATTCATCGCAACCGAAACGAAACCAAAGATAATGTCAAACCAATCGATGAAATATTGTTTGATTTACAGATTCCCGCAAATCTGAGACCAGAATATTCACACCGTATTCCCACACAACAGCCCCCACAGCCCACACTTAATTGTACGGTCAGTCTGACGAGACTCCCGGCATGAGTGGCCATAGAGTGTACAGTATTGGTCTGAATAAGTATTGTTTGTGTCTGAGTCTCATTGAAATAGTTTTCAAATTTTAAAAATGATTTATTAATTTATAATAAACTATTCATTGAGTCAATTGTAATACTTGTAAATTAATTTAAATCCAAACTCTTATCATAAAAGTTCCTTAAGTTTGTCATTTTATTTAAGTTTTACGGTAAGTGTTTTTGATTTTAATAAAATAAATTGACAACTTATTCATTATGTGTGTTATGAATCATAACAGAGTTTGCAACTAAACATTAAATTAATAATAAGTTAATAAATGATTGTAAGTTTTACAACACATTTTTAATGACATTCAGTAATGTATTCAATATTGAATTGATTGCCAATTGCTGTGTTTGTGTCCCTCTATTGACAGAGCATTGCATTCACTGTTTGTTTACAAACAATGTTTTGACAGTTCATTGCAATTGAGTGTTGAATACATGACATCATGAAGACATGAATACCACTGAAGACATGAATACCACGACAAGCGCTGCAAGTGTTGTCTTAAACGACGATCTCTTGTGTCTAATATTGAGTGAACTATCGGTCAAACAATTGGTTCGTTTGCAGACAGTTTCGCAACAGTTCTTGGATTGTGTGGGAAGTGCTCTGAAGTCGAGGAATGAGTTAACCGTCGGTCGAGAGTTGAGTGAAGCGTTTGTGCGCAAAGAATGGCTGAAGGAGTCGATCCATGATTTGGTCCAAAGTCACCAAACATTTGCGTCAATACTGAAGAAGTGCTCAAACATAAGAGCTTTGCATTTGAATGACTGTTACATCCATTTCAATACAATTGAAGTGATTGTCAACTCGTGTCCACATCTCAAGCATTTGTCACTCAATTGGATCTATTTATCACTCGACGCACCACAAGAACAATGGCAACGAATGGCACAACTGTTGTCTTCATTGGATTCAATTGAACTGCGAATCGATATCTGGTTTGATGTGAACTTCTATTACAGCGGTTCTCTCGGCGCCCAAGACTTGAGGGATCAGTTGTGTTCACTCAAGAGTTTTCACACCAATTACTACAAGAAATCAATCGATGAATGCATGGATTGTAAGCCACATCTGAGTTGTAGCTTAAGAATAAAGGATATGATCACAGAATTAGAGTTACATTCACTACAAGACCTCATCGATGGTAATGAGAAACTGATCCACGAGTTGGTACTCATTCGCGGCATAGATATGGATGAAAACAACGATATATTTGAACTAATATGCGATGAACTGAATCTCAAGAGTTTGGGATTCGGCGCAACGCCTTCCTCTGACTTCGAGCACAATGTCTTCACCGAGAATATCGTTAAACAGAAATCTCTGCGAAAGTTATCCATTGTTTGCAACCTTGAGTTCAACGCCAACGCATTGAAACCAATGAGTAGTTTGCGTTCATTGAGTTTAAGCGGATCCAACTTTGAGGCCAAAATGTGGTCCAATTGTCGGGAAGTGTTCCCAAACTTAAGACATTTGACACTCAATGACATTAACTTGTTGTGCTTCTGTGGGCAACAGTTTGGCATTGGATGCGACGCCTGTATTCATAGATTTATGACATGTTTAACACAATTACCACAACTGACACACCTGTCCATCGAAGATGAAGACATGGAAGTGCTCATCGCATGTCATAATCTGAAATTGTTTACCGAATTACGTGTCTTAGACTTGAGTTCATTTGACTCCAGCGACCATATCGTCAATAATTTGTTTGATTTCTGTATTCATTTGATTGCAAATAAAGTTTCAAACAAATGGTTCAAACTTATAGTCAGTTCACAAGTTAGACAACGACTCGAACAGCAATTATCTGATAAACATATATTAATTCCCAATTATTTTCTCATTAAAACTTATAAATAATTATTAAGTTTTTGTTTAGAAGTTTATTGTAAGGTGTATTTTAATTAATAAAATAAAAATATAGTGTACAGTATTATAATGTATAAATTTAATTTTACAATAAGTTAGAAATAAAATTTAAGTTACACTCAAAGTGTGAATTTTATTTTTTATTGAAACTTTATTTTTCGATGATTATAAACATAATTTACCGATTATTTGTGTCCGTTTAGTGATTACAGTATATCACACCCTTTGAATGGATTCATTAAGATATCCTCTTCCGGCTGATACACCTTACACATAGTCGCAATACTCTGGTTAAGCAATTCAATCTGTTTATCAGGGTAAACTTTATCCATATATCTCAGAACCCTTTTTCTGGTGATTTTAGTCTTGTGTTTAAGTAAACTAGTATTGAACAAGATCATTTTGTCAATACATAGAGTAATAGCTTATAACTTTATACGTTTGATGCACACATCCCATTAAACATAATAGTTTGCAAATAATTTTAAATAAATTCTTCAACATGTTCATTTTTAAAAATATAATTTTAACATTAATTTTTAACATTAATTATACTTGTATTTTTCTATTAATATTGATAAAAATATAACTACGTCTATGTTATGAAAATGTTTACCAATTTCAATTTAATTTATATAATATTCTTGTTAAATAAATTAATCAAATCAAATGTCAATATTTATTTCATTCATTCGTAAGAATTACATAAAAATAGTTGTCATCATAATTTATTAAGTGTATGTGCAATAAAAAATAAATATTTCATTATAAATTTAATAAATTTTAATTAATTTGCTATTTGGTAACATAATTGATAAATTATTTACATTTAATTTTATTATAAATTAACATATGGTAAACTGTAATTTTATTATTTAAGACAATTTGACATTTATTAAAAAATTATTAATACAGAATATTGGACATTTTGAAAACAATGATTTGAATTTAAGAAATGATTTACTTATGTGAACTAACAAATTTTTGTTTTGTTATTCTTACATTATTTTGTTTCATACGATTTGCATTACGCTTGCAATACAACTTTTGAATTATTGCATTAAAATTTACACTAACTTTACTGTTAAATTCATGTCTATTGTAGTAATTATTGATTTTTCGATACATTAGAGACAAATACTCGGTTAACATAATGATAGAGAATCCAAACCATAGACTCACAACACTTGCCATAAGACATAAATACTCCTCAAATGTTAGCTTAACTTGTATTTCATAGACCAGTAAAGGCTCAGTGGGCACCGATAGTGACACTGCATATGAATTTCTAGGCATTAAATTATGAGTGTAAGTCTTTGAATCAATCTTATAGTACTCCTTAAGACAATCGAGTTGTCGTTTACACAAATCATTACAACTTTGTTTTATAATATAGTTTAAACTCGTATTATCATAAAATGTTTTCTCTGACTTTCTATCATATGTAAGAATTTCAGGTGATAATCCACCTGTCTCATTCACATATCTATCCTGAATACAACTAAAGATACAATTATGTCTACTTATAGAGGCATTACATGCTATAATCCCTGGCCATTCGTACTGGTATTTTACGATAATTTTACTGAACTCCACGTTACATATATTGGTACCGGTAGTATTTATATAAATGACTCCTCTTTGGAAATAATGAAATACAAACTCATTCGGGGAGTGTACGTGTATGTACAGAGAATTGTCCCCGATATAACTTCCATTTTCAATGATAAATGAAGTGATAAAGTGCAATTGACTGTCAGTCAAATCAAAATCAAACCCATAGCTACTATGCCAGTGCTCTGCGAACATGGTGAGACAATACCTGTCACCATTTAGCGATATACGATACGGACCCACATTTAAGCAATCGTGATATAAATCATATTGTCTTTTAGGAACAGTTTTATTATTGCGAAAAATATGACATCCAAACAGGTCTTCCGGTTTCCTCATGGCTTCAAACTGTCTTCTTATGGATAATGTATTCAAGTAGTGGTCAATGGTTTGGTTAATAGTCTTGTTATCATTGAATGTATTTATGAATTCTTGCTTTAATAGAGACTTCTTTTGGAAACATAATGTAAGCGCCGGTGGTGTTAGTTTGTCCATCATTTCATAATTAACATTAGTAGTGGTTTGGTATGAGAAGTATAATTGACTTATTTTATATGTTTGATACAAACATCCCATTAAACATAAAAGTTTAAAAACAATTTTGAATAACTTCTTATAATCACTCATTTTTGATAATTTTAGCAAATATTTTCAGAATCTGTTATTACAATACATATTGTATAGTGTTTATAAGAAATGAATAGTACAACATGATATTGAGTCTTGTACAAAATATTTGTTTGGTAATACAAATATAAACAAATATTAATAAAAATATGTAATATGCTAAATTAAATTTTTTGTTTACCATACAAAATATTTATTTGTTTAATAATAAGTAATGAATTTTATGGAATATTTTAAAAATCTGTTATTATTTTGTTTATTGTTTCTAAGAAATGAATATTGAAATGAAATATGTTTTGTGATAAATATTTGTTTGGTAAATTAAAAATAAGTTATAAGTGTATTGATCAAAATATTGCACTACTGTAATATGTAAATATGGTACTATGCTAAATTAAATTTTTGTTTATTATTAAAAAAAATCATTTAGTACTTATGATTAAATATGTATTTTCTAGACATTTTATTTTTATTAATTTTTGTTATTCAAAATACAAATCTTAGAATATTACATTTGTTTGTACTGTAACATTATTTAAGTGGAAATATAATTATGAATTTCAATTTTGTAAATTGAAATACTTACATGTTCCGTATAAGCAAATACAGTAGGTTGGAAAATAAATAAAACGTGTTTAAATACAAAAATATTTTTTAATTTTTGAAACATTATTAATTAACAATTTAATTACTAATTATTCATTTGTTGGAAAATAAATCATAAATTTACTTAATTATGATTACTTTTGTCTGTCTTTTAAATTTTAAACACTTTCTAATAGATTTCAATTTAAACATTTGTAGCACCGGTTTGATTACTAAATTGAATTGGATATCATTTCTATGCATATAATTATAAAACTTTGTGCACATATGCGACAAATACTCGGTTAA